GCATGCTGAGAGGTGCCAAAGGGGAAGCATAGGGCAGGGTCGCTGTGTGTGGTTGGACAGGCTGTGTAAGTTTTGGAATGCAGAAAGTCTCCACATCTGAGGTGGCACCATCCGCGTCTCACACCTTGTTGGTTTGTGTATTTCTCAACACAATTCTCTGACAGATGTTGCCAGAGTGTCCTGCTCTAACAAAATTAATGTATTACAATCATTTGCAGACAGACAGAAATAAAGTATTTTGAGAAAGGGCTCTCTTTTTCTAATTCACAAAACGGCACCACACAGATGAGAGGAAGGCCTGCATAGAGTGTGAAGGGAGCAGAGGATAAGCCTGTTTAATTACCTTAGTCTAAAAGCCAGGGAAGGCCTCCTGAGGAAGGGTTTACCTGAGACACGAAGGATTAGCAGTAGTTTGAAATTTTATTACAAACTCCACAGAATAGCTAACCTATGTTTTTGTACTGGATATCTAGTATATTAATAGTTTCCCAGAAAACATATCCTCAAATCACAGTTGATCTGAAAGGAATCTGCCATTCAGCCTCTCTATGTAGTTAATGAACAAGAGAACACAAGCTCTTTGAAACCAGAGCACGAAGATGGAAAACTGCATACACATCTAGCTTTCTAAGCATTTCCTCTGACAAACTCCTGTATTTGTTTTCAAAATGTATTTCGTCTTGGTAGGTTATTTGGAAATTCTTCTATTTTCCACTGTGTTTTGGTAGGGAATATGCGAGGGGGTTGAAGGTAATTGCTACTTAATTAGATGAAAAATGGGCAGTGAGGATCATCCTACTTTTCTGCTCTCCATAAATTTAACCACTGCGTGGATAATAACAATAAAAAGCCTTTCTTGAACTGATTTCTCCATTTTAGAGGATTTAACCATCAGCCATCTTTGGAGGCATGAAAGTATGCTCCATTATAAAGAATAAGGTATTTTATTTTTCTACACACTAATAATCACAAATCATAGTGATGATAGCCAGTGTTGTCATTATGTCAAATACTATCTACCCAACACTGTCTTTAGATGTTTGAGTTTACTCAGTTCTTCCCCACAACGACCTCTAATACAGAAACTACTTCACTCCCATTTTACAGGCTAGGGATCTGAGGCATAAACTGGTTTTAATAATTTGCCCAAGGTCACAGAGCTTGCCAATGGCAGAACTGAGATTTGAACCGTGGCAGTGTGGTCCTAGAGCTCTTGACCTTTCTGCTGCCCTGGTTTATTAGGGTGAGTATTGAACCTAGCCTCTAGGTGAAATTGAAAATCATTAATTAAGCTTTCTGAATTACACAAATCCACATCTAGAATTAACCACACTGCTAGTATAACTCGCGCTTTAGTCAGAATAGATTTTGGACCTATTATTCATTGAGAAAGACTTCCAGTGAGAAAAATAAAGTAAAATTAAAAGATGACACAAGGATACGAAGGTTCTGACTCTCTCAAAAAGCTGGACCCAGGCCTGGGCATCCCTGTGCACTGAGATCATTCCCCATTTTGCCGTCTTCACGGTGAGGCATAGACGGGTTATTTAGGCTGAGTCTCTAGCACGATGTGACTGCCTGTGAGCTTTGCCTTAAGAATTCCCTAAAGGGTTTTCTGCAGAACTGCCTTGAGATACAATCAAGGGAATCTCAGATGCGCTCAGTATGTTTTGGAGACCTGGCGTACTGCATCTGCCTCTCACGATTCACAGTGTGCATGGGCCTGTCTTAAGGCCCCAAGAAGCTCTACACTAATGAAACCTCTGTCACCTTTAAAACCCCAAATTGCAGAATGCTGTTTGATTATGGAATTCTTTGTTTCTTAGAACACCTATGAATCTACCTGTAAAACTAATGTTGGACAAATGCTGCCTGAAGCTGAGCATGTCAGTGAGGAACAGCAGGACACACAGAGAGAGGGGAAAAAATCACAGAAGAAAGATGTTTCAAGGCAGGAAAACATGGGTAGAGGGCAAGTTGAAATGCCCATATTGCTAACTGTGGTGCTTCTTACAAATGAGTCCTATATGTGACTAGCATATATGTCAGACATATATATATCAATCATATGACATGCATACTTTAATTGAATACATATTCAATTAGTATAGTATCTATTAATATAGAACTATATTTAATATATATTAAATATATAACAAAATAAAATTTAATATCTTATTAAATATAATCAATATATTAAATATATATTAAATATAATCAATATAATTATATTAAGTATAATAATACAATTATATTAAATATGTTAAATACAATAATAAAATTGTATTTATTAAACATAAATATATTAAATATTATATATTTAATTGAATATATTGTACTCAAAGTATACAAATATATATTATACTCAAAGTATACAAAAGGAGCAGGAATTTTGATTATGTGAGACAAAATAGCAGGTCTGGCATATTAGCAATCATCAGTGTAGTAAAACTAGTCCACGTGTTTACCTGCACTGTCTCTCCCTACTTCTGGAAAGGAAAAATGGAGCAGAATGTGTTGGTGTGAACCAGACTGTCTAAGGAGAGGGAGAAAGATAAAAGACTTAAGGGACTTAACACATTTGGATTTAAGGGCTAAAACTATTGTAAGTGTTCTGGATTTTAATAGTTTCTGTCTCTGTCTCCTTCTCTTAGAAAAGCAACAAAAGACAGAAGAAAAATCAGAAAAGAATCTGCAATTTCCCATGCAACACTGCAACAGGTCTTATTTTTTATTCAAATTCAATGGGAGATTTGATTTCTTAAAGCTCCCAAGAAATGATACCAAAAAAAAGTTTTAACATAGAAAAGTGTGGATTTTCTGCTTCATCTTTAGACACAGACATAAGACACATCTGGTTTATACTTTCCCTTTTCCTTCAAATTCTCTAGAGTTTCTAGGATCTTTATAAAGAATCTCAGGGTAGCAGGGGTTTGTACTAGGGAAAATCCTCCATCACCAGCAGTCCCTCACCCACCCACAAAGCTTTACAATGACTTAAATCCAGCTCAGGACTGCTGTGGGAATACTATTTATGAACATACATTACTGTGTGTAAAGATTGTAAAGTAGGAAATGAGTTGTGTTTGAGGCTATAAGTTCACATCTTTGAATCATTTCAGATGGACAGAGAGGGAGATAACTAAAAATGTTCTGAAGCTGAAACATTAATTGGGGCTAACAGCACACAAAGAAAAATAATCTATAGCATGAAGAAAAAGCCCATCTGTCAAGGCAGTAGGCTCCGAGTTTGAAGGTGGGTGGACTGGCTCGCAGGGGACTTGGGAGAATAGGACTCTCTTTCTGAGTGGAAGTTTGGAAAGCTTCAGCTTTCAGTTTTTAATGAGAGCTTGGATCAAGTCTTGCCAAGATAGGCAGACTCACAGGCAGCTTCACTGAAGGTCTAGGAAGGGTACGACTGCTGACTCTGAAGTCCTGAAAACTGCCCCATTCTCACTTCAGGCCCCATGAGGTCTGGTTATATCTCATTTCTGTGAAATCTCTGATCTTTACAACAGTATTTCCCCTTGTCTGAACCACCTGGGGGTAGCACCCTTTTTCTTATACCCCACTCCTGCAAAAGACTTCCCAGGACCAGGAGACGTGAGATAAATGGAGAATTTCAATACCATATGGTGCACTCACCACCTGCCTTCCCCAGTTATCTATCTAATATGCCCGGACACATTTTTCTCTGGCTATTTCATGGAAACAGCATAAAGTAAGGAACAAAACTAAAGATCAGCATGACAAACACAGTCATTATTGGAGAATAAAACAATATTTTCAAGACAGCAAGAGTCTGGAGGGATCCCAAGTTCACCATATAACTAGATCTTTTATCTGTTATTTCTTAGATTTTGAAAACATAAAATGTCTAAAATGTCTATGTACATGTTATGTGGTTTACTAAATAGAAAGTGAGGTTTACCCAATTTGCTTATTCTATTGGAATGTTAAAAACAGTAAATGATTACATAAATTGTGTGCCTCTTCAGAGTAGTAACAGGATGGCTCTTTTAAGTAGGCTATTTCTAGAAAGCAAAGTTAAGTGTTTTTTTTGCTAAATATTCTGTTATACCTCATTCAAGTATTTTAAATAAAATATTTTAAATGATTGAGATAAATGACTTACAAAATAAAATAAAATTATCTTTGAATCTGCATTGTTTCAGTTTAAATGATGTTTTCTTTAAGAATATCATATAGTTGTTTAGGAGGAACATTTAAATTGGGATATGTAAACATGTGATATGCTTGATCTAGTTGTTAACAGATAATGACTATCAAGTTGTTTCTATTTCAATGAAGTTTCTAAATTCACGCAAATTTAGAAACATCCTGTTTCCATAGCAACAGATAAAGAGTAAAACCAAAAAGATTTTATTGATTTTAACAGGGCTTAGAGAATTTGTTCTTCTTTTTAGCAGTGATTTTTGCTCTTTTTTTTTAAAAGTCTTTCACAACATCTCATTTTCTGTTTTCTAAACGTATTTAGTAAATTACATAAAATTTCAAAGTAGATATTTGTGACATTACTGTAAAATTACACATTCTTATAGTAATGTAGAATAACCAATATTTAATTCTTAATGTCAAACAGATACTAAACTATGAAGTCAAGACCAGACATCAAAGATTCTAACCACAGGTATTATCAGTTTAACATATGAATAAAACATTGCATTACAAATGCTTTTAGGTAACTCATTAATGATTACAAGCATAGTATAACATTTTCTGTCACTGTTAATTTATTAAGACTCAGGCATCAGGCTTTCACAGATAAGTGTTAGAGTCACAAACTGCAAGTTTCTATAGTTAATGTGACAGCGTGACAACGGATCGCTGAAATTAGCAGAATAATTGTTCCATGTTAATGTGCTAAGAAACCAGGCAATAGACTTTCTTTTTTTGTGCATTTGTTGTTTCAGTTGTGTGTTTTTCTCCAATTTTTCTGCTCATTAAGTTTCTGTTTGTCAAAACACACAACAGCTTACCTGTAACAGACACACAGCCTAATGGAGCGATCAGAGTAATGGGAGCAAATCCATAGGCTGCGAAGTTCCCCGTCTCTCCCACGGCCATCAGCAGGACACCACCCCACCACAGCACACTCTTGAAGTATGGCCTTGGGTGCTCCTGTTGTGCCAGCTGAAGGTGAGAATATTTCTGAAAGTAAATCAGAAGATAAATAAGAAAACATTCTGAGCTATGAAGGGAATGCCACTTTTTTTCTTTTGTCTTCCTTTAATTCTTTTTATAAGAACACTAATTTATTTTTGTATTTTTTAAAGAACAAATACATTTTTGGGGAATTATTGAAAATTATACTAGGTCATTTTCTAGCAAAGATTTGTATAAACAAATATAGTGGTCACCCCTCGATCCACGGATTCATTTTCTGTGGTTTCAGTTACCCATGGTCAGAAAATATTAGATGGCAAATTCCAGAAATAAACATTTCATACATTTTAAATTGCATTCTCTTCTGAGTAGCAGGATGAAATCTCTTGCTGTCCCACCTGGTATGTGAATCCTCCCTTTGTCCAATGTATCCAGGCTACAGATGCTCCCCGTCCCTTAGTCATTCAGTGGGCCTCTCGGTTATCAGATCAGCTGTTGCAATAGCACAGTGCTTGTGTTCAGGTAACCCTTATCTTAGTTACTTGTTCTATTTTATTATTAGTTATTGTTATTAACCTTTTACTGTGCCTAAGTTATAAATTAAATGTGATCATAGGTATGTATGTATAGGAAAAACATAGTATATACTGAATAGGGTTCAGTATTAGCTCTAGTTTCAGACATCCACTGGGAGTCTTGCAATTTATCCCCTGAGGTTAAGAGGGAATTACCATATAACATTCTGGGAGATATTTTGATGTTCGGGTTTATTTTGATTCAAATCATTTTAGAGACTGCAGCAATTTGATTCTAATTCAAACTGATTCATTAAATGATTTAAAATGGTTTATTTAATTCCTGATTTGGTTAAAAATTCATATTTCCTTCAATTTGCATTTAGCAAATCAGCAATTTATTCAGGTTTCTAATTCATGTTCAATTATAGTTCCTATTTTGTATTCTACATTCTTTCCTCAAGACCATTAGTCTATACTGGCATATTTAAGAGCATTTTAAAGAAAGGGGAAAAAACCCTATAATCTGTACTTTTATGAACTGCTTCTAAAAAGTATCCATATCCCACCTGAGGTGAAGGCTATGAAAGAAATCAAAGTACTGCAAATCAAACCAGTGACACCATAGGCCCCTTACCTAGGGTCTACAATACAGTCAGAGCCCACTCCACACCCCCCAAAATTAATTTCTTTTAAAATCAGAAGAAGAAGAAAAATGAATGCACTCCAGCTTGCATTATATTTCTCTTTACACCAATGAGGTCATAAAATATATATATTTTTATAATTTTTATGGAGAAAAGAGCCACAAAGACAAAAGTTTCCAAGGCCCATGAGAGTCATAATGTGTCCCTGGATTAATCTACAGTGCTAGAAAAATAAGCTTTTTTCTTACCTGAATATTTAGAGAAATGCTGATCACCAAGTTTCCTAAAATGGCCAGCAAAACTCCAAAAAGGTGAATCTGTAAAAGAAAATGTTTTCCTTAAATAATACTTGTAAGATATTTACTGGAAGAAAAAAGACAAATTTAGGTATTCATTCATTTGTTCAGTAATTCAGCTTTAGCTTAGTACCCATTTGCTAGGGTAGGTTTGATAAAAATTACACATTCTTATAGTAATGTAGAATAACCAATTAATACCATAAATACCTATTAATATGATTTAATTAGAATTAGTTTTTCACTTTTTTCAGACACTATTTTTAAGAAATCACTTGGTCCTCTATGAATTCTCTAGATATTTGCCTGCCTCATTTACTAATATAAATAAAATATTTATTTGGCTTTTTCCTATCAAGATGCTGCTTCTTATGTATCCTTTCTTTTTATTTTCTTTTCTCTAATAGGTTTTGGAGGACTGTGATATGAAAGAAAGATAATCGGACTACAAGGTAAAGGATAAATCTGAGACACAGATTTGCTCTTTTCTAACTGGGTAACCTTTTGAGCAAGTTACTTCACTTCTCTGGCCTAAGTAAAAATGGGATATTAGATAAGATGTTTCCAGAAATCCCTTTACTTCTAAGGCTCTATGATCTCCACTGGAGATGGGCTAAATTTTCCTACTACTCCCCTGGTCAAAAACCTACAATGATTCTCTACAGTCTACTATATCAAACAATAAACTACTATACCAGCTCACCACAATTAGTCCTCACCCAGCCCTCTGTCCATAACTTACTTTTAATGTGCTTCCTCTATCTCAGGTATGTGGCACGTGCTATCCTCCAGCCAGATGTGACACTTTCTCATGTCACTGCTCTCCTAGGTCGTGCAGGTGCGCCTCTCACTCACTCCAACCAAACCTCGCCCTCTTGGCCTGCAGAGGTCCATCTCCTTGAGACCTCCTCAGACCACCTCGGCCCACCTTGACTTTCTCAGATTCTAAATGGTAAGCCTCCCTTATTTATTCTTTAATATTATCATGTTTGCTCAAATTCTCTGAGGGAAAAGAACCAAGTCTTATGCTTCTTTCTATTGGGTCTTCTGCATCATCTACTGCAATATAAAATTGAAGATTTAACAAACACTTGCTTGAAAAAGTATATAATCATCTAACACAAGAACTATAGAAGTTAAAAGGTAAGTTCTTACACATTGCCCAAGATGTTTATCATGGATAGCTCATGTATTATTTAATGATTTCAAAAGATGCATTTGTTGCTCCCATCTAGGTCCAAAAGTATAATATCTTCTATTAGTATAAATTAGCAGTGATACAAAGGATCATCTCCCTCTTATTCTACAGTATGTAACTTCTAGCTAGCTTCAAATTCCAAGAAGTTATTTGAATTTCAAATGAGCATTGCAACCACAAAGAACCCTTTTCAGAATGCAAAATGTCTTTGAAGTTTTAGAGCTTTATTATATGTGATTTTTGTAGCAATAAGACACCAAATTCCAGCCTGACTCAAGTATAGCATGAAATTTAGTATTTAGAAATGAAATTTAGTATTTTTTAAATGAAGTAAAAAGTTGAAAACTCATTATATAGTTGATATATAATATCCATGGTCTTTAATCAGTTAAGAATTTTCTTTTCCTAAGAGAGGCAATTGGTAATAATTTTGATCACGATCCCTCATGGGGAAACAATTGAGGTACAATACAATGTACTATTTCCATGCTTCCTATTTACATCTAATGTACTTGGCATTAATCAGGAAAATGAAGACTGAGAAAAAACTTTGGCCATGAATGGATATTTATTAACATCTCCCATAATTATAAAAGTACATTGTTGAATAGAAATAACTCACTTTAAAATTCTTTAAGTCATTCACTAAACAGTTTAAATGGATTCAGGCTGGGTATTTAAAAATTGGTGGCAGGGTTTGGCAATAATTTCTTGGATATGACACCAAAGCATAGGCATTGAAAAAAATAGATAAATTGTGTTTCACCAAGATTAAAAGCTGTGTTTTTTTTTTTTTTTTTTTTTT